CCATCTATCACCCCTGCGCAGTTAGGGAAGCCCATTTGTGCAAAGCCATCCACAATGTCATGCATGTTGCCCGGAGTCATGGTCTTTCAGAGTAGGATGCGATTAGTGGCCCTGCAGACTTCTGTCAACACGAGTCCAACAGTCAACTTTCTGACTCTGAACTGGTTAGCTACTGATAGGTAGTGGTCTGGAGTAGCCAGCTTCCACGGTGCAATCGCCACGTGCTTCTCCAAAGGCAGGGCAGCTCTCATTCTTGTGTCCTTGTGCTGCAGGGCTGGGGCGAGCTCATCACACAGTCCCATGCATGTGGCTTTCCTTATCCTAAACTTCTGCAGCCACTGCTCATCATCCCAGACGTGCATGATGATGTGATCCCACATCCATTCCTGCAGACCGAAGAGGCAGAGCATGCAGTACGCAAACCGTTGAACAATGGCGCCAAATGCGGACGGGAGGCACACGGATTGCTGGGATGCGCAGCAATCCATCATGGGGCACTGGAACAGGACCCAGGATGCCCCGCGACGCCCTCTGCTGTCCCACAACTCTTAGTGGCAGAAGAGGAAGCGATGCTTTGTGGGATAGCTGCCCAGAATCCACTGCTCCAAATACCATTGCAAGTGCCGCAAATGTGAACAGGCTATTGTGCAGGCAGCTGACAGTGTGAACACACAACAGCCGTTTCCCTTTAATACTCTCTGAGCAGCGCTGTAATTGCCGGTGCTGTAACTCTGCCAGGGTAGACAAACCCTAAACTTAAGTGTTAACTACCAGTTTTGGGAGAATCTGCTCTCTTTTCGCTGCCTGTCCTTTGACATTTTCAGTGTGGGCTACCCTAGGCACCTCGGGTCACATAATAGTGCATATCACATAATAGTGTTATATCTAATATTTTTCACTTCTGAAATTATCACTACAGCAGTGGACATCAGATCTTAAAATTTCTTCTCATATTTCAACTTATTTCTGTTGTTTTCTTTTTCTTGAGTTTACCAACTTCACATTAAAGCTCTATCTTCTCCACATCCTGAGATTTATTCAGGTCTATGTCTTATGCCAATTTCTATTGTATTACTTTTTGGTTTCTGTTTTCTATCTCCATGAGCAACCCTAATGTAAGACAAGAATCACAGTTTATCCCTGGAGAGTTAAAAATATTGAGAAATGAAAGATGTTGAAAGTCTATTATGTCAACGGGTGTATAATCACACCCTAGCATTTCATTGTGTCCATACCATGTCATTTTCTTTTGTCGCCTATTACTGTATTTCAAAAGTTCCATACAGTAGATTTCTTTAATTTGCTGTTTCCACTGCTTGAAAATATGCTCCTTGTGGGGAAATTTGCTCTCATTTCACAGAAGCAGAAACAAATGCAAAACAGAAAGTTAGGAGGGAACTTCATTCAAATCTACATAGGAATTTGCATGCTTTGCTAGCTCTGCCATGTGACAGTTCAACTGCACTTCTGTTGTGGAGAAATGTTTATACACTATGGGTTTTTTCTGAGTTGGTTTTCTTCCATTGTTGCTAAAAAGACACTAATTCCCCAGGCTGCCCTGGACCTCGCATCCCCCTGAAGCGTGGGACCCCCCCAAAGCGTGGTAAGCCCAAACATTGGTGGAGCCGGGCCCACGTTCCTAAATATTGGTGGAGCATGGGCACCACGGGCCCATATAATTCGCCCTCTATGTTTCTAACCATCAGAGGAGAGAAGTTCTGGAACAGCCTACCAAGGGGAGCAGTGGGGGGAAAAAAACTGACTGGCTTCAAGACTGAGCCTGATATGTTACTAGAGTCAATGGTATAATGAGACTGCCTACAATGGCATATAGTCCATCTGCGAGTGCTAGTAGCAAATATCTCCAACAGCTCGTGATGGGACACTAGATGGGGGGGCTCTGACTTACTACAGAGAACTCTTTTCCAGGTGTCTGCCTGGTGGGTCTTGCTGAAATGCTCAGAGTCCAACTGACCGCCATATCTGGGGTCAGGAAGGAATTTTCCCCTGGGTAAGATTGGCAGAGACCCTAGGAGTTTTCTGCCTTTCTCTGCAACATGGGGTACTGGTCACTTGCTAGTTTAAACTAGAGCAAATGGTGGATTCTCTGTTTAAATCAGGATTTGAGGATATTAGTAACTGAGTCAGAGGTTATGGGTCTTTTACAGGAATAGGTGGGTGACGTTCTGTGGCCTGCGATGTGCAAAAGGTAAGACTAGTGATCATGATGGTCCCTGCTGGCCTTAAAGTCTATGAGTCTATTGTCTCTGGATGTATTGTTTTCATTAGATAGAGGTACAGGTGGTGCTGCAGCCCTGCAGTTCATGGCCATTTGAAAGAGAACTAAGGAAAATGCATCCCTTTGTGACATCTGGTGAGTCTTAAGCTTTTTGGTGTTATTTCACAGTTGGTTCACAGTGCGACTCATCTCTTAGCCTCTTTAGTAATAGCTGGTTCAGAGGTGAGTCATCTCTTAGCTGCATTAGTGAATTTGTAACTTGGGCCTTGTACACATCCAAAAATTGCACCAATTTAACTAAAATGGTTTAGATTGAGGGAAAGAATCAACTTAAATTAAACAAGAATAATGCACTAATTTAAGGGTGTCCATATGAGAAGGTAGCACTAAGGGCTTGTCTATATACAAAAGTTTTAAGAGGTGCTCAGCTCCTCACATAATCAGACCCTAGGACTGAAACTGTGCAACCACCAGATGGCCATATTCAGACCCATATTAAGGCAACTTTGCACTTCCCTGGCTGCACAAAAACGGCTTATACAGACAGCTGAAGATTCTGCTGCCATAGAGGAATTCTTGGCTGGTCTAGCATCTCTTCCAAGCATCCGTGAGGCTGCTCTAAATCATTCTAAGGGTCAGACCTGCACCTGGCTGGCCATAGATTTGGAGTGCGAGCAGAAAGGTGACTTATAGGAGCCACCTTTGCTTCCCACGTATTCCCAGGGCTGCTCCAGTGCATTTAGGGTTGCCAACCGTCCAGGATTGTCCTGGATTCTCCAAGAATTAAAGATTAATCTTTAATTAAAATTTATTTTGTGTGGTGAAACTTCCAAGAATACATCCAACCAAAATTGGCAAACTTAAGTGCACTTGAGGATTGCATTCCAAATATTTAGTTGGTAGCAGGGTTCCTAGTGCTACCTAATTAATGTGAACAAGGATTTCTCCCCGGCCACTGAGGAGATCCTGTAATTAGTAGATCATCTGCTACTGCAAGCTTCACAGACGCTTGGACCAGTTGTGGGATGGAAAGTTTCATGAGGAAGAAATGAACTGGCTGTTTGAATGTTAGAAAATCACCAGAGCAAGGTAACATAAGCCAGTATGTCTGCAGATTACATAGCTGCGGTGCCATTTTAGCTGCTTGAATAAAATTAACATGTTTACAATAAAATATAATTGATGTTGCAGAATAAATATTGATTAAATTACTTGTTTCAATTAAAAGTATGGCTATGCTATGGCGACACAGTGGGAGCACTGCAGCTATATCATTGTAGTGACATAGAGTAGGAAGGGGTTTTTCCATTGCTGTAGTTAATCCACCTCTTCAAGAGGCGGTAGCTAGTCAATGAAAAAATTCTTCCGTTGAACAAGTGGCAACTACATCGGGCGTTAGGTTGGCTTAACTATGTCAATCAAGGGCGTGAACTTTTTTACATGTAGCTATGTCGACCTAAATTTTAAAGTGTAGACCTGGCCTGATTCTCACATTTCATCTGTTTTTTCAAAATTCATACATAATACAGATTGTATCTCAGTTGGTACACGATCCCTCCTGCTCCTTCCTCTGTCCTTCTCTGTTATTATCATTTCCACTGTTAAATAACCTCATTTGGATTGCAAAATTTTTAGGGCATGGACATTTTTTATTTCTGTAAAATGCCTTGCAAAATTATAGCATTGCATAAATATTAAGTAAAATAAATAGTATCCCTGAGTTGTTTTTCTGGGAGCGTAGCCTATGTGAATATGATTTCCATACTTTGTTGCAGGTGAGTTTGGTCTGTTTTGGTACAGAGTGCTGCTATGGTGGCTTAAATGAACAGCCTGCATGAACAGTGCATGCAGGAAGAGCAATACAATTTATTTAAAGATTTCCATGGAGTACCATGGCACTGAAACTCATTTAAGCATCCATAACAACAACTAGCCTAATTTGGTATGGGTCTGTCAGTTCTAGTAGTCTGGTGAAGTGGACCTGGTGTGGCTGGCCAGGAGAAGAGACGAGTCCCTGCCTGAGAGCTTAGGGTGCAAGTGTTACGTTTTGCCATAAGGGGGAGAGGTTTGGATGTGTTTGTGTGTGTCACCCTTCAGGCCCTGGGGTGTGTGTATGTTGTGTTTTGGCCTGGGGAGTGCAGGTGTCATGTTTCAGCCTGCGGGGGATGTGTGTGTTTTACACTCGGGCTTTGGCTGTAGGAGGTGTGCACACATGTATGATCACACTTGGGGTTTGGTGGGGTAGCTGTGTGTGTTCATGCTGGGTTTGTGAGATCACAGTTAGGAGCTGATGATGGCTGTGAGTGTTCACAGTGTGTGTGAGGGATCACACGTGGCCCTTGGGACTGTATTCGGTAGGTTTCAGAGTAGCAGCCCTGTTAGTCTGTATCCGCAAAAAGAAAAGGAGGACTTGTGGCACCTTAGAGACTAACAAATGTATTTGAGCGTAAGCTTTCGTGAGCTACAGCTCACTTCATCGGATGCATGCCGTGTGTGTGTAAGATCTCAGACGGGGCCTGGGGGATGTCTCTTCTCCTGGCCAGCCACACCAGCACACACACTGCATGCATCCGATGAGTGCGTGTGACATGAACACACTCATCGGATGCATGCAGTGTGTGTGCTGCTGTGGCTGGCCAGGAGAAGACCCGCGCGCCTTGTTGTCCGGCCCATGGGGGGCGGGGCTGATGCCGGACAGCTCCCGCCTAGGCGCTCACCCCGGCGCGCGCGCGTTGCCTGGGGACAGGGGCGCGCGGGGAGGGGAGGGGGGGTTACGTGGTGACGTTATTTCTATATGAGCGCGAGCGGCGGGAGCTCGGGTCTTTTTACCGCCAGTCGCGCGGCACCTCCTCCTCGCTCCTGAGTCACTGCGAGCCCCGGTTCGGCGCAGGTACTGAGGAGGGGGGAGCGGCTGGCGGGGGCCGTTGCGGAATCACGGCGCCCGGCTCTGGGCGGGTGGGGGTCCGCTCAGCTCCCGGGGGAGGCGCCCCTCAGCCTGGCCGGGCCGGGCCCCTGTTCCGGGGTCGCCGGGCAGGGGTGGGCCGGGACCGGATGCGGCTGGGACTGGGCCGGGCCGGACGGAGTCGGTTGTCCCGGTGTCTGCGCGGCGCGGGGGCCCTCCCCTCCCCTCCCGCGGGGCCTTTCTGCTTCGCCCCGGGGAGCAGCGCCGGTTGGTCGCCTGCTCCGGGGCCGCCATGGCCGCTGGGGTCGCACTAGGCCGCGCTGCCCTGGGCCTGGCGCGGGGTGGGGAGAGGTCGGTCTGCCTGGTAGTAAGTAGCACGTGGGGACGGGGCTGCCTCCGACCTTCCCCGGGGCGCTGCCCCGCCCGATGCTGATGTGCGTGTGTGGGGTGGGGGGGAGAGTCGGGGTGAGCAGGGGAGGCTGTGCTGAGGTGGATTGGCCGGGGGGGGGGGCGGCTGTGTGTGGGGTGTGTGTCTGTGGCGGGGGGAGGTTGTTGGCGTGGGGCAGGCGATGCCTCTGGGGAGGGTAGTGAAGGCCGCCTGGTGCTAGCTATGGCTCCTTGCTCTCTCCCCGGGGAGCGTCGAAGCTAATGTGCTGCGCAACTTGTTACTGACAGGGGGACCCAGCGATTTAGAGCCTGGCGGTGGATCGCTTGCGCTCCCTGCCTTGTCGAAGAGCTCTGTCCGCTCAGTTCCTAGCCTCCCCCGATGCATGGTATCTAGTGAGTTGAGCGCAGCCTGCTAGTCCGCTCTGGGCTTCGTTCTTGGCGCTTACTCACAATTCCATGTAAAGGTCGCGTTTAAAGTACCATTAGTGGCTGTAAGTGATGATGAGAGGTAGCTTCCCTTGTCAGAAAGGAAACTTGACGTATTAGTAATCTCCACCCCCTGGAGCAAGTTTCAAGCAGTGTTGATGGGTTGTTTTTATACTGTTACCGGTTGCATAATATTACTGGTGATATCAGAATTTAGACTTCAAAAAATCCACTTACTCCAAGAAGCCAGGGAATGCACTTACAACAGGAATTTCTATAGAAATTCAGCTTAATAAAAAAAAAATTCCGTCTCTATTTGGTTGATAAAATAACTCTCCAAAAGTGAACAGAGGGTAATCAATATGCTGATGTTTTCCTTAGTCTGTAGCCAGACATTCAGTGCCTCTGCAGCAGTAGCAAAGTGCAGTTCATAAGATTTGTTAGATTCCTTGCTGCTGTTTGGAACTTGGTGGAAGACTTTTGTACAGCATGCTGTAGTTCCTTGGGAAAAGTTACCACCAGCAGCAGCAGAGGTAGACACTGAGATACTCACAGGGGAAGAGGAATCAAAAGACCAGGAGACTGGAGTAGTGGCGGAAGGGTACCAGAGAATTCTGCTCCTCCTCACATCAGGCATGAAGCTCCGGAGGGAGAGAGAAGTGAAGATTCTTCCCTTGAGAGCAGTTTAGAGGTTCTGGAAAGTGTATGGAAGCACTATTCTTAGCAGCTTTGGATGCTAGGTTTCTTACCAGGGCCTTGCCCTGTGTGTGTATTTTGTGTCTGGTAAACTTTTCAAGCTCTTATCAGAATTCTACTGAACTTAAAATGAAATTATAGACTTCTAAATTATAAATTTAGAAAATTTATTGTTTTAATCTGTCATTCACACAAACTTGTGAAGATGTTCTCTTATGTGAACTGATGACATTCAGCGGAGCTAGGCATTGTACAGGTATGTTGCAAAGCTTCCCTGCAGCACTTCTTTCTTGATATGAGACTTGGTTATTCTAGGCGGAGACTGCATTCCTGAGAATGTCACCATATTCTGTTAAATTGAATTTCTGCAAGTCAGTGACATGGTAAAAAGTTGTCCATTATCTGAACTTTCAAAATACAAAGTAACCACATGAAATAAACGTATTCATTATCAGAGAAATGTCAGAAACTAAGTACACCTCTACCCTGATATAATGCAAATTTGGATATAACGAGGTAAAGCAGGGTTCTGGGGGGCGGGGCTGCGTGCTTCGGCAGACTAGCGCATCAGTGTGTCTGGCTCCCACATGCTGCTGTGAGGGGCATGTTAAGGGTGCCAGGCCGGGACCGAGGGGTTGGATAATGGGGCCATGGGGGGAAGGGGAATGGGTTGGTTCAGATGGGGCTGCGGCGGGGCTCGGCCAGTCTGCGGCAACCCAGGGAGTGGCTCATGGCTGGAAGTTCATGCCCCAGCCCGAGTGCCTGCGGCCGGAGGGAGTGGGTCCGTGTTGTAGCCCCGGCTCCGCGCCCTGGCTGGGGGTGCTGTGTGCTCCACCGGGCTGGGCGGTTTTGCCGCCGCTTCGCTCAGCTCCTGCCTCCCTCCTGCGCACCGGCCAGAGGGTGCTGCGTGCTCTGCCAGGCTGGGTGGTTTTGCTGCCACCGCTTCGCTCAGCTCCTCCGTCCCTCCTGCGCCCCGCCCGAAACCCTCTGCCCCATTAACAAAAATGATTTAGTTTGCAAGCTTACAAACATTTTTATCCTAAAGGGATAAAAATATCTTTCCTAGTAAAATTTCAAAGCACATTATTTCTTTGTACACTCTAATCCCTCTACCCCGATATAGCGTGGTTTCACTTATAACGCGGTAAGATTTTTTGGTTCCCGACGACCGTGTTATATTGGGGTAGAGGTGTAGCTGTTAAAGTAATAAAAACAATTTTTGGAGCGGTTGAGTGTGTTGGTTTTTTTTTTTTTTTTTTTTTGGCATTATCCCAAGGGATGCAAGACACGGCTTCCATGTATGGTTCATCGCTCAGGGAATGTCAATTAAGGTCCAGCAGATGTTTCAAAACATTTAGGTGTCTCTACTGGTACAGTGTTTGAACACCAACTGATTTTGTGGTCTGCAGTCATACGGCTTTGGGCTGTGCACATGTTCTATTTCAAACTAAACTGGTTTAGGCCTGGTCAATACTTGTATGGGGAACTTAAGAAACAGCTGGATGCTGCAGAAAGTGGTAACATTTGTTGTATTTTAAATATTGTCATCCATTATTCTGTGAGCATGTACAAAATCCGATTAATCCACAAAATGGGTGGCATACTTGACTCTAAATTAATATTGAACCAATACTTCAGCCTGTCACTAGGGTTTAAGAAGGTGCCACCAGATGAAGTGTGAAAGCTGGTTCCTAATTGCTTGTGGTTAGAGCCCATGACTTTCGAGAGTAGGATGTTGAACTTGTTGTCTGGTCACTTCCTAGTTTGGGTAACTGCATTCTAACTACATTCCATCTGTCCTAAACTGTAGATTTGCTCTGCAGTATCTTACAACAGCTGTTAGTACATGTAGATCAGTTTGTTTGCAAATTGCTTTGGGATTCTTTGCACTCAAAAGTTGTGTATAACTAAAGTTAGTTAACTAAAAATAAATTGTTAATGCCACTAACTGACCCTGGCCTGCAGAAGCATAAGGTTAATGAACTAACACTCATTTCCACCTAAACCACATCTAGGTTTTAGCTTTTATATACAAATGCTTTTTTACATGTAATCCAATCAACATATGTATGGAAGATTTTACAGAAGGTGCTTGAAGACGTCTCCATTTTAGCTCCTGATTGACTTAATTGGATTTAAAAACACAATGTGGGCAGCCTGTTGAAGATTTCTTATGCGTTTAGCAGATTTTGTAGATGCAATAAAATTCAGTGCAGAGGAGGCATGTAATTGTACAGCTTAGGCCTCATGTATTCCCCAGCAGGCTGGACCTTAAATTTGCAGAAATATTCCTGAATTTTATGATAGACTAGAAACTTTGCAGCAGCATCATTTATTAGAATTGCCCAAGCATTCTAGGGGGCACCAGGAAGCTGAAAAATTCTGTTTTGGTTCTCTCAAGCCATATTTTTTTTCTTAAACCCTTCCTGTGAACTTTTTCATGTTTTTGGTGGTTTGTCCCAGTTCAGGACACACCACCTCTCTCCCCCCACAAAAAAAGAAGGAAATCTTTCAGATGTGAATTTTTCTCGACAAATTTTTTTTTTCCTGGCCAGCGCTATTTAGAGCTCGTTCAAGTGTGTGAACAGTTCAGAACATTTGAATTTCACCTGCCATTGTGTTGCCCATTCACCCAGCAGGTATCACATTAAAAGTGGGAACTTCAGAGCTCTCTCCTAATGCTGGTGCTGCGACTACACCATGCGGCAGCACTTTAATGTTGCAAGTGAAGACATACCCTAAGACAGCAGTAACTTTCCTTAGACTTCAACTCTCAAATTATCTACAAGCAAACTACCATTTAAGAACTCATGGAGCTTCAATTTCGCTCCTACTATCAAGGATAAACAAGAACTGCTCAGATTAATAAAGGACAAATATCTACATGGGCTTGTACAGAAGTCTTCTGGGCAACTCCTGGGCTGGTTCTAACAAAAGGGTTTGATTTTTTTCTACATAAAAAAAGCTTCTCTTGCAAGTTTCCATCAGATAATAAACAATTCCGTCAACAAGCGCTCAACAACCCCTCTGCTAGTTTGTAGCATTCTGAGGCTAGGTCTGTATGATACTTTACATCAGTGTAACTACGTCACTCAGGGGTGTGAACAATCCACACCGTTGAGCAACGTAGTTATACGACATAGTCCTGTGTAGACAACACTATGTCGGGAGGCGACTTTCTCCCACAGACATAGCTACCACTTCCTGCAGAGGTGGATAAACTATGCTGATGATAGGTGCTCTCCTGTCAGCACAGGAATGTTTTCACTTATGTGCTGCAGCTATGGTGATGCAGCATTTTAAGTGTAGACCTGCCCTGAGTGCTTGTAATTTACCCTTGCTGGGAAGATAGAATAGGATCCCAGACTCTGGTCAAGTGAGTAAGGAAATGTACTACAGAATTAGTTTAAAACTATGACAGACAATTAATTCTACCCCTTTATTCTATTACTGATTCAGACTCTCTGAACTGGTTCTAA